CTCGTCCCCCGCGCCCCCACCGGCGCCCCGTCGAAAATCTGCGCCGGACTCGCGCTGCGGCCCGAGCTCGACTGCCCGCCGACGCTCCGCCCGCTCGGCGGCCTTTGCGTGCGCGAGCTCGCGCTGAACCCGCGCGCGTGGCCCCCGCTCCCCGCGCCGCGCAGCTCCTCGACGTTCCTGAGCGCGGGCGAGAACCCGGACGCGTCGTGCTCGGCGCGCGCGGCGCGGCGGACGAGGACCGTGCGCCCGATGTCGGTCACGGCCGCCGCGACGTGCGACGCGGCGGCGTCGAGCAGGCTGACGGGCGCCATGCCGCCCGCCTGCGCGTGCGTCTTGGCGGCCGCGACGAGGTTGCCGAGCGTCGCCTCCGCGCGCTCCTTCAGCGCGTCCAGCTCGTCCGGCGACGCTGTGGGACTAGGGGAAGAGGAGGAGTAGTGGCGCAGGTCGTCGAGGATGGCGGTTACGGCGGTTATTACGGCTTTCATGGGGTGCAGGACGCGCGTGGGGGAGGAGGCGCGGCCGGTGGTGAGGAGCGCGTCGATGGAGGTGAGGAAGGATGTTATGTGGGTGTCGGGGATGCCGCCGGAGGAGGACAGGGGGAGGTTGTTCGAGTCGAAGGTGGGTTTTTGGGTGTAGAGCTGCGAGGTGGCTGGGGATGCGATAGTCAGTGGTGTGGAAAGTGAATAGAGGGAGGGTTGAGATGGAGGGTGTACCTTTGATACTGCGCAGCTCGGTCTTCGCGTTCTCGTACTTCTTGCGCCATTCCCGCACTTGGTTCTCCAGCTCGCGGATCGTGCGCGCGTCGGCTTCGCGCGCGGCGAGGAGCTCGTCGTTGCGCGCTGAGACGTCGCCGAGTTCGGTGAGGAGGCCTTCGGTGTCGTTTCGCAGTTGCTCGACGACTTGTTCGGCATCCTATGATATGCTCGTTAGAGCTGAATCGAGAGTGAGTGTAGAAGGAAGGCATACCTCGGACATGCCGCGCCCGCGTTGCTCCTCGAGCTCGTCTTCTAGGCGTTTACATAACGCGCGTAGACGGTCGATCTCGTCCACGTCCTTCTCGCGCTCGTCCGCCTGTTCCTCCGCGCGCTGTGAGGCTTCGTCAATATCTTGCCATCAAGAGAAAAAGATAAGATACGCACCCTGCGATGCTCCTCAATCTCGCTCGCCCTCTCCTCCGCCTCCCTCTCCAAACTCACAATCTTGCTCTGCATAGTCGCGATCCTAAACTCATACTCCCTCCTAACCTTCTCGTCGCCCCCCGCATTCCCATTCACGCTCGACCTCCCCCCTCTATCGCTCCCCCTCGACCCCCTCCCCCCGCTCCCGCCCCCATACTC